TGTGTTAGAGTGTTTTGTATCTGCTCATCTTTTTAATTTCAAAACCCATGGCAACAAAGCATTCTGGCTTATAGTTTTTGCCTATGCTTCACATTACGTGGTCATGGGTACCCTCTGACTGCCTTTTAGAAAACTGTGATTTTCCTATAAAATGTGTCTGTATGGGTGCAGAACTGGGAATGGCCTGTTGAGGATTTGATTTCTTCCTGTAATTCTTCTTGAACAGTCCCTCCATACTCAGCTACCAGTGTTCCTGTTTTTTATTCCAATGGGTGTAAATTGTAGTCTCTCTCAATTTTCTCCTTTTCCCAGTATAAACACGCTATGACTTGCTTTGAGGAAGGGACTAGAGTAGAATCTATTGGGCTGGGTAGGTGAGGTTGGCAGAGTATGTGATATTGACATCTCCCTTTTTCAACCAATAAATGAAGTGTTGATAAGGAAATACAACACTCAAAGAAGGAAAGGGTACAGAAAAGTCTCGTGTAAATTGATAATGTTGTTTTGAGTCTTTTTACAACTTTTTACTTTATTCCAGTGGTTCACAACCTTCTGGCCCTTTAAATACAGTTCCTCATGTTGTGACCCAACCATAAAATTATTTTCATTGCTACTTCATAACTGTAATGTTGCTACTGTTATGAATCGTAATGTAAATATCTGATATGCAGGATGGGGTCGTTCGACCACCAAAGGGGTCGCGACCCACAGGTTGAGAACCACTGCTTATTCTATCCTTCCTCTGTTGGTAGGTTCCTCTTCTCTTCCTGGCCTGCCCCATCCTTCATGAAATTCCTTCCCTACGGCAGTGGCTCTCCACCTTTAGCATGCATCAGGCTACCTGGAGGGCTTGTTACCACAGAACACAGAGCTGCTCCTCCAAGAGTTTCTAATCTAGGGTGGGGTTCATGGATTTGCATTTAAAAAAGAAATATTTTATTGATTTTTTTACAGAGAGGAAGGGAGAGGGACAGAGAGTTAGGAACATCGATGAGAGAGAAACATTGATCAGCTGCCTCCTGCACACCCCCTACTGGGGATGTGCCGGCAACCAAGGTACATGCCCTTGACGGGAATCAAACCTGGGACCCTTGAGTCCACAGGCCAACGCTCCATCCACTGAGCCAAACCGGTTAGGGCTGGATTTGCATTTTTAACAAATTCCCAGCTAATGCTGCTGGTCCAGACCATTGGTTAGGGATTGCACTAAATCATCTTAATATATTCATTCGTTTGCTCATTTGTTCATTCAATCATTCAATATTTATTGAGACATTAATAAATGCTTCAGACACTGCATACCCCCCCTCCCCCACAGAACCCAGCTTTAGTGACTAGCATTTGGTGGCTCTTTCAGAAATGTTAAGTGGTTGTGCAACCTACATTTTCCCCCGAGTCTCACAGCCTGTGGGTAACAAGCACTTTTTGGTGCGAGTGACTCAAACGGCACTGACTCTTCTACATACAAACAAGACCTCCAGCACTCAATTGGTTCGCAGGGATGCCAGGGCTTGACACTCATAGTCAGATGCCAAGTGTCTGCTTACCACACACTAGCATCTCCATGGATATTTTCTGTCTGTGCAGCTACTTAAAGGTAGCTCTCTGCTGAGCCCACCGCTGCTGCTGGAGCTTCCATGAGAACCATGCGATCCACGCCAGGGGTGCTGCCCACCGGTGCTTCCAAAACTGCCAACACCTGGAAGTGGCAGGGAGCATGGGATGCTCCCTGACCCTGCATCACATTTCCCTGTCTGGAAACCAAAGAGTGCTGCTGGGGCCTGTTAACATAAAAAACATTCAAACCTGTAAAGAATTTTTGTGAGTTTATTTGAGCCAACCTGTCAACAACTGCCGGGAAGCAGAACCTCAACGTATTGGGGTAATGCTCTGGAGACTGGCGGTTTTTTACCTGGTTTTATACATGACAATCAAAGGAGGAGATGTAAGTGGGTTACATGAACTCAGCTGGTCATAGGTTAGGGAGGCGGGAGAGAGCAAAGTGGGGGTGGGGAGGTGACATCTCTGAGATTGGATAAAAAGTAAAGTGATAAGACACACGCTTCTTTTATTCAGGTGGGAGCAGGATAGTTAACAGTCAATAATCAACCCAATAAAATGAGGGGATTTGTGGTCTCCGCAGAGTGGTGCCTGGGCTCTGAGGGGTCCGGGAAACGAAAAGTTACTTTGACATTCCAATGATATGTTATCGTAGATGCAAAAAGACTATAGGCTTTGTTAGTAAAGACTGACCTTTGTTAGGGAAGATACCGGCCTAGGATGTGACTACCCACCATAACTGCTTTTAAAGTTTTAATTTTAGACCATCTTTTGCGGTTACTTTAGGTCTTTGAGTTTGCAAGACAGCCATGCAGGCCTTCCCTGAGCTTGTCAGGTTAGCATGTGGCCCCTTTTTCATCCACATGCCTCAGTATCTCACAGAATTATACACATAAATCTCTCCATCAGTGTTTGCCTATAGTTCTTCCCTGGGGCTTGACTCTATAGGCCTGGGGAGGTGGCAATGGATGGATGGGCAGAATATGTGATACTCATACGTTCTGTTTTTCTACTCTAGGTTCTCTATCAATTCATAAAACATGCATATGCAGTGTCTATACCCCAACAACTTCTCAGATGTGCCACACATGTCTGAAACACAGTGGGGGACCCAACTGAACTACTCAAAACTACTAGATATGAAGGAAATAATAGTTTCTCTCTACCTTTTCCTGGCCTTTGAAGGTGTTTATTTATAATCCTGATGCACTTCTACTTACTCTAATGTAACCAGGGGCCTTCCTTCCTTTAAATGTACTCTGCAGCTTATTTCTTTTACACAAACTATTCCTTAGGTGAGGAGAAGAGATCCTTTGTAGCTCTGCACTAGTTTCCTACAAGGAGCTTAAGAATCAAGACAGCTTTATCCAATCTTTACTCCTCTCCACAGGCTGAAAACCACTGATGCTTGGGATTATTCTATCTTAAGCCAAGAATGACTTGGGCCAGGTGTCTGTCCTGGCTTCTGAGTGTGTGGTCAGGGAGCGGGGGTGGGAGGCTAAGTACTGAGCCCTTCAGCATCTGCAGCTGAAAGAGACTTTAGTTGTCTATTGTCCAGGCCAGGGCTTCTAGCAGGATAACAACCCATTGCCTGATCACCATTCCCTCACCACTACCTCATTAAATCATCACAAGAAAGTTTGGGGTAAGTAGTAAGATTCTTCTTCTCTTAGAGATGGAAAGGGAGGATCAGAAAGGTCAGATTACTTGCCACAGGGACCAGAGCTAGCAGTGGAGGAGGAAAACTTCAAACCAGGGCTTTCTTCCCCTGGAGCCCTTCTCTAAATATTACAGCCTTTAGTCTCCACTATTCTCTCTAGTGGCTATAACGGAAGGCAATGTATTGGTCTTTTAATAAAGAGGCAGTTTTTGGGGGGAGGTGGGGGTGGGGGAGGAGGGTGAAGAGTCAGTCAACCAAATTTACTAAGTCATACAATTCTTATCTACTTTCTAAGCATTTCTTCACTAAAAAAGCTGCTTTATAAACAGATAGCAGAGGCCTCTGCTCTGCTTCTTATAACCTGGCTTCTGCTAAAGACTTACTTTTATAATTTTTAAAAAATATTTATTTTTATTGATTTCGGAGAGGAAGAGAGAGACAGAAACATCAATGATGAGAGAGAATCATTGATTGGCTGCCTCTCTCATGCCCACACTGGGGACCGAGCCTGCAGCCCGGGACCCTTCAGTCCACAGGCTGACACTCTATTCACTGAGCCAAACTAGCTAAGGCTAAAGACTTACTTTAAAAAAAAATTTACTTTTAGTGTTGAAAGTATTACAGATGTCCTCCTTTCCCCCCCATTGGTCCCCCCATCGCCCCGCTTCCACCCCCTCCCCCTCCCTGACAGGCCAGCAGAGGACATTTGACCCAGAGGACTAGAAAGTCCCCAACGAGAAAGTGGCCCCAGACATCAGGTCAATGATAACAACGCCGCTTACAGCCACAGCCTCAACCACCAGCACTAATCGGTTTGAAGGACAACAAGCTCCATCTAATCAGACTAGAACACCTACATCCCTCAGCCTCTGCCCCTTGCAATTTGGGCGCATAAAATTCAACCCGAGGACAGCGGAGGCCGAGTCATAACCTTCCTCGGTTGGCTCCATTCCCTCTAATGAACCCCTCCTGCTTTCTCGCTGTGTCTGCCTAATTCCTTGAGCGACTCCAATCTTACACTCCCCAGGCCTAATGCATACAAGCTCTTTGGTTAATCTCTTCCTGTCCCCTCTTCCCTCTAAGTCAGGTCATTTATTCTTCTCAACATGTGAAAACAAGAAGATAGTTATAATAAAACAGCTCAGCCCTGGTTTCCTTTCAAGAAGTTAACGTTTAGCATCTAGAAAATAAGTCCATGCTTCTGAAAGTGTGCTTCAAGAGTTTTGGAGCACAAAGAAAATTGCTGTGGTGCTTGAGTTCTTAGGACATTTGTCCCGAATCAACAGGTACTTACTTCTAGGCCTCAGTCAGTGTTGGAATTGCTCCGTCTCTTTCCTCCACGGCGCAGAACGTTTGCAGAGGAAGAGAGGTCTGAGCTTAAGAGTGCTAGAGTAACAGCTCTATTGTAACTTCTGGCACTTTTACCTCTTGGAAATTTATTCTTTCCTTCTCTATATATTCCAACTCCTTAATCTCTTTTGCTTTGTAAAGAGTATTTTTAGGATTGTACACCACACTCTGATCTCTTACCCACACCCCGGTATCACAGACTTCTTTTGGGGGCTGGTGGTGGGGGGCAGGGGACACTCCTGTCTCCTTCCTGCCTTCTGATTCTATTTGCCATAGAAGCAAAAAGAATAAGCCTAAGCGAGGCCCGGAGGTCATCCACCCCTGCTTTTGTGCCAGGACAAGCAAACAACCTAAGCCAATTACTAACCGGTTTTTAAAAAAAACCTCCAATCAGAGAGACTCCTCGGCTACTTTTTGTGAACTGTTGCTCCATGCAACTGCACACTCCAAATGTCTTTCCCTATCTGTGTGTTCCCTTATCTCGCTGTTCTATTTTTTTCCTCATTTGCATTAACCCTTTCTCACCTTTTTTTGAACCTCCAGGACTTCTCAGAAGTGGTGGGAGACAACGTTCCTCAGCAAAAAGCCAAGATAGTAAGGTGAGTTATAGTCCCCAGGAACCCTAGTCCCTAGCTAAGTGGGACGGACAGTGGGGTGAGGTGATAGCACTCCTCATTTTATAAGGCATTTATTCTGCAGCTAAGCAAATACTCTCAGTTTTAACCTCCCAAGACTGACACTTCTGAGTCTGTTTCCAAACCGGACACTAGAGGGCGCCCACGGGTTAAAAATACGTGGGAAATTATGGAATGAAAACTGCTTCTTTAAGGCATTTGCTCTTTCAGAATTTAAAATTAAAGCTTATTTCCTAAACATTTAAAAAAATTTACTTGTATTAAAATCGGGTTACAAGAAGCCAGTTTACAAGCCAACTGGATTGTTTTTTTCTTTTGCCCAGTAGTTTGCAAGGGAGCTTTTAAAGCCGAGCTGAAGTATTTGAAATGTGGAACACTCTTGACCATGAAATATGTTCTACTTACATGCCTCAGCCTTTAAAAGTTCTTTGCATTAGAGTCAGGGATTACATTGTTCCTGGAGCTGAGCATGGGGCCAGCTGTGTAAGTAAGGTTGCTTACAGTTTCTTCTTCTTTTTAATAATGTGAATAAATAGAGCTAGGGATCCTTTAATTTTCCTTCAGCTGACTTTGGTGGAAAGAAAAGGGATAAAAAGTAGTCAGATTTGTGTGCTGTGTTTCTCCTTGTGTGTGTGACTAAAAATGTAACTGCTTTCAAGATATATGGGCATTTATGACTTTATATTATGTTAACTATTTTTATATTAACTATTAATGTAAGATAATGGAACATATTATGAAGAAAAAACTGTACTGTTAGATTAAGATATATTTTTGAATTTGAATGCTAGTTATTTAGTTAACTAATTAGTGCAGGATTTAAAAAATAAATATGGAATTTAGATAAATATTTTTAAAAAACCATCTATTACTTATTTTTAATTATTTCTGAATTTCAAAAAGGAAAAGCCTGAATTTGTCAAACTTTAATGCTTTTCCTTCAGAATCAAATTATAAGACTAGCTACACATTATAAAATATTCTTGGATTTTTGTGGCTTGCTCTCACTTGTTTAAACTGAATATCAAACCTATACATCTATTTTGTTTCTGTTTTTTAAACTTCATTAAAAATGTTAGTGGTGATATTAATGACAGGAAAGAGTTACTTTTTTCTTTACTCTTGTAGAGGAACTGAGATAGTATGGGGTTGTGACTCAATTAACTCTCGTTTCCATTCATTCTCAGAAACAAGCCACACTTCTCCTTGGGGAGGCTGATAGGAGTTTAAAAGGTTTGTTGTGGCGAGTATCACAGACATTCCCAACTCCCTCACCAACCCTTTGCTTCCACCTCTACCCACTGGAGACCACTTAGACACCTAAGCGGAGGCGACAACAGAATTCAGGAAACCATGCATCATGTCACCGGGAGACAGCTGCAGACTTTAAACTCCGTTCACCATGCGGATGCGGCCGAGAAATGACCTGTCCAGACAAGCCAGGGCAGCTCATAAACTGGTTCATCTGCTCCCTGTGCGTCCCGGGAGTGCGCAAACTCTGGAGCAGCCGGCGCCCAAGGACCCGGAGGAACCTCTTGCTGGGCACTGCCTGTGCCATCTACCTGGGCTTCCTCGTGAGCCAGGTGGGGCGCGCATCGCTCCAGCACAGACCCGCAGCGGAAAAGGGGCCGCACCGGCGCCGAGACACCGCCGAGGCACCCTTCCCTGAGATACCCTTGGATGGTACCCTGGCCCCTCCCGAGTCCCAGGACAATGGAACCACCCTGCTGCCCAATGTGGTGTACATTACCCTACGCTCCAAGCGAAGCAAGCCCGCCAATATCCGCGGCACGGTGAAACCCAAGCGCAGGAAGAAGTACGCAGTGGCATCCCTGGCCCCAGCACAGGAGGCTTTGGTCAGACCATCCCTTCAGCCGCAGGGAGCAGCAGGGGCAGCTGAGGCTGAAGTGCCTGGGTACGTCCAGAGAGGAAACCTGGCCAAGGTTGGGGAAAGATCCTGGAGATTGATAAGGGGTCCGGGAGGACCAGTTGGGGGCTCAGATTTCCAGCTGCCCCAGGCCAGGGAGAGCAACATCAGGATCTACAGTGAGAGCGCCCCCTCGTGGCTGAGCAAAGAAGACATCCACCGAATGCGCCTGTTGGCAGATGGTGCCGTGGTGGGCTTCCAGCCAGTGTCCTCTAAGAGCCAAGCGCGTTTGCTGGTGCTGGAGGGGAGCGCCGCTGGCTCTGTGCCTGGTTGCGGCTCTAGCCCCTGCGGGCTGGTCAGGCAGCCCTTGGACATGAGTGAGGTGTTCGCCTTCCACCTGGACAGGATCCTGGGCCTCAACAGGACCCTGCCTTCTGTGAGCAGGAAAGCAGAGTTCATCCAAGGTAACAAGCTTCACATGCTTCGTTCTTTGCAGCTGTTGGGGATTGGGGTTGATTTTCTCTTTTCCCTCACTCTCTTTTTCTAAATGATTCTCTCCACCCACGTTTCACATTTGGACAGCAGCAGCAGCAGCAGCAGCAGCAGCGTGTCTTTCCATATGCTTGGCATTCGTTATTGTCCCAGCCTTGGGATATGAGAGTTCCAGGGAAATGCTGTACTCAACATGCAAGAGTAAGCCTACACTGTATAAACTTTGCTCCCCATTTCCCTGACGGCACTTCCCAGTGGGTTATTAAATTTAATTAAAGCCAATGGCGATTTGCAGGATGAGGGGAGGAAGCCAGGGTGGAGGCAAAGGTCTTGCTGACAGTCAGGCATATGATGAGATAGGTTACTATGGAAGTAAGTCAAATTGTGGTCGTTTGTTTTTTGAAAGTAAGGGGGAAGTGGGTTTTATCTTTCTTTAACAGATGGAATCTTTTTAAGGAGCCCAGAGCCAGATCATGTTAGATTCAATCTTTTGATTTTTCACAATGGATTTAACCCCTTTATTTAACAAAGACCATGAGACAAAGAGGTGATTTGCCCAATGCTAACTAGCCATATCGGGGTTTTTTTCAAGTGCATGACTATGGTTTACTGCAGTGGTTCTCAACCTTGGCTGCACATTAGAATCACCTGGGAATCTTTTTTAAAATCCTGATTTCTGGGCCTCATCCTCCGGAAATTCTGTTTCTTTGTTACTAATGTTGTGGCCTCACCCCCTAACAAAGAAACAGAATTTCCGGAGGATGAGGCCCAGACATCAGGATTTTAAAAAGATTCCCAGGTGATTCTAATGTGCAGCCAAGGTTGAGAACCACTGGTTTACTGAGTCTGAGTTCCAAGAATCTCTCAGGTGACAAACATTTTGTTAGGTTCTGAGTATGTAGCCAGTCACTTCCATTGCAAGTAAAGGGGCTGGCCTGTGGCCATGCTCTTGCCCCATTAAGGATATTCTCTGAGTCTTGAGGCTCTTCCAGAATACAAAGTAGAGTGGGTCAGGGGCTTGTGTTTAAAAGCAGAAGAACCACAGAAGTTGCTACTGTGAATCCAGGCTTCCCTAAGAGGCTAAAAAGGACTCCAAAGAGATGACTATAAACTAAGAGACGATTATCTTATTCCTTGTCACCATGAAATTTAGTATTTTAGTGAGATTCCCATGGAGTCTGGTCAGGAATGGATTAGAACTCTAGATTCCCAATGGAGTTGGGATTATAATTTCATTTTAGAACTGCCAAACCTTTAAGGGAAGCACCAGTGATTTACTTAAAAGTCTGGCATTTCTTACTTATCCTGGCTCATGTCTGAGTGCTTCAGATTCACAGATATGTTTTAATGTCTCAAGTTCACAAAGCAGTCCACCATGATAGCCTCTCACACTTTTAATCCAATGTTGGTAAAAGCTAATTTTTATTGGGTGCTCACTGTTTGCTAAGAATGAATGGCTCATATAGTTTATACATGCACTGACTCCTATGGTTCCCACAACAATGCTATCAAGTGGGCACTATTATTATTTCCAGTTAGTAGATGAGAAAATTGAAGCTTATTTAGGCAAAGTAATTGACTCCCTGTAATCTTAATGGCTAAGTTAGGTTTTGAGCATAAACCCAGAAAACTTTAGAACATAAGCTCTTAACCGTTACGTTGGGTTTAGGTGACTGTATTCCGTATTATTAAAACTGGAACACCCTGAAGTAAGAGAAGATTTGGGTGGGCACTGAGACAACAGGCATACACTGTGGCTGTCTGGGGCAAAGCAAGACATAGGGTCATCCTTGTTATGTTATACTGCCCTTTATTTTTATGTCAGCACTAGAGGCCCAGTGCATGGATTCATGATTCGTGCACTGGTGGGGTCCCTTGTCCTGGCCTGGCCTGGGGGGGGGGGAGGGTCAGGCCGAAACTGGCTCTCTGACATCCCCCAAAGGGTCCCAGATTGCGAGAGGGTGGTTCTCTGGTGATGCATCCCAGAAATGGGCTCCCTCCTCTCTGGTACTGGGTGCATCACCCAAGAACCATCGCTGCCAAGTCACCGCAGCTCGGCAGCTCCTGTGTTGAGTGTCTGCCCCTTGGTGGTCAGTGTGCATTATACTGGTAGCTATTGGTTGGAGCGTCTGCCCCCTGGTGGTCATTGTGCATCATAGCTACTGGTTGGATGACCGGACGGTTGCATAGGCTTTTATATATATAGACTAGAGGCCCGGTGCACAAAAATTTGTGCACTCGGGGAGGGGGTCCCTCAGCCCGGCCTGTGCCCTCTCGCAGTCTAGGACCCCTCTGGGGATGACCACCTGCTAGCTTAGGCCCGCTCTCCGGGGGATTGGGCCTAAGCTGGCAGTCAGACATCCCTCTGGCAGCCCAGGAGCCCTCGGGGGATGTCCACTTGCCAGCGGGGAGCAGGCCTAAGCTGCAGTCGGACATCCTTAGCGCTGCTGAGGAGGCGGGAGAGGCTCCCACCACCACTGCTGTACTGGCAGCCATCAGCCTGGCTTGTGGCTGACAGAGCTC